TGAAAACCACCCATGCCTGTATAGGACAGACCAACTTACTCGACTTCTAGAGTTCGCATTGTAGTGACCGCTAAAAAAGCACTAGCCACTTGCCAGGATTGAACTGACGACCTTCTGCTTACAAAGCAGACGCCCTACCACTAAGCTAAAGTGGCTGACGAGAAAATAAGATGAAAACCACCCATGCCTGTATAGGACAGACCAACTTACTCGACTTCTAGAGTTCGCATTGTAGTGACCGCTAATAAAGCACTAGCCACTTGCCAGGATTGAACTGACGACCTTCTGCTTACAAAGCAGACGCTCTACCACTAAGCTAAAGTGGCCGACGAGGAAACAAGATGAAAACCGCCCATGCCTGTATAGGACGGACCAACTTACTCTACTGCTACAGTTCGCATTGTAGTGACCGCTAATAAAGCACTAGCCACTTGCCAGGATTGAACTGACGACCTTCTGCTTACGAAGCAGACGCTCTACCACTAAGCTAAAGTGGCCGACGAGGAAAAAAGATGAAAACCACCCATGCCTGTATAGGACGGACCAACTTACTCTACTGCTACAGATCGTACTGTAGTGACCGGTAATAAGGCACTAGCCACTTCCCAGGATCTACAGTATACCTCAAGACCAACAACAAGCATCCAGTCGGGCCACAAATCTGCGTTCATCATGGACACCCCAAAACTGCGGCTCCGCACTCATCCCATGATTGACCGAACGAAACAACAGTTCCATTTTGAGTATATCCGAAAGTTCACTATGTTGTTAGGCCCTGAGACCTCTGCTGCTGCGACTGCCTTCACGACTACGTGCAGGCCTCTCGCTCGACCTCGAGACACTTCTAGCAGATGGACGTCCAGCACCTGAAAAACATTAACTGGCCAGAGGCATAGGCGTCGCAATTCCACAAAGTCTCGCTCTCGGCCGCCCGGCACCGCAGATCTCGGGCCTCTAATTTTTAAAGAAGGGCCGTGGGATCTGAACGAAGGTGAGCCGTGAGTCGACTCAGACGGATACTGGTAGGAGTGAATATTCATGGGGAAGAGGTTAGTAAGGATATAAGTGGACCCTATAGGGACCTCGGGAAAGCCCTTGATAGAATGACGAAATAGGACAACATATCTCGCTTTTTGCATTTCTCGAACGATTAGAGTCGTTTGCGATGGACAGGAGAGTGATGATGCGGAAATTTTCATCTCAATGGATAGGTGGCTATCAAAATAAGTATTGTATACTCTTTCTTCATGCCTGTAGGCTTCGGTAGGAGTGTGCGCGACAATGTGTGCGCGTACACTACTGTATGCGCCGTATTGCACTGAAGTTCAACTGTGCATTTTTAGGAGCATCTCCACCGGCCGCCCTTATCCTTGCTTTCGAGTGAAAGCCCGGTGAAGTAATGGACTGCCGGGTAAGTCCGGGTAGCATCGCAGGCTTCCCGGCAAATGGCGGACATTGCCGGGCGAATTTGCGGACCGCCCGGCAGTTGCCGGCGTGGCGGCCGAGTCCCTGGCTGTCAGCGGCTCCATCCACCCATCCTTCGAAACGATGGGGAGCTAGTAGGCGACAAAAGTACTTCGAAGGAATGGAGCTGTGAAGAAGGGTTCTTTTTCTCACCTCCACTTTCTCGGCTATTAGATCTTTCCCTTCTCCTGCCAACTGCTCTTGGAGGAGAAAGACTCTTCCTTCTATCTTCAGTTCCACTATGTCTACGTCCCTGGTTCCTGTCGCCCTCGTCGTCATGGTAATAATGGTAAGAGCGGCTGTCCCCTCCATCATATCCTTCATGCCTCCTCACTCCACCTCGAGGACGACGCTCATCTCTCTCCTCATAACGGTCTCCTCCTCGACGCTCTCGTTCGCTAGACCTATTCCTATTTTCGTTAGATCTATCCCTTCTCTCGCTTCCTCGACGGTCTCCTTCAGCCGATCTATCCCTTCGCTCACTTCGTCGACGGTCTCCTTCAGCCGATCTATCCCTTCGCTCACTTCGTCGACGGTCTCCTTCAGCCGATCTATCCCTTCGCTC